TCCTTCGCCTTACTTCGTTCATTATTTTTATTTATTTTTTTGCGTCGAGAATATTAATGTAGTCTCCAGACCGCTCCAGACTCAAAGGCCTTCGCCGCACTGAAGGCTTTGTGAGGCTTTGCTCCAGGAACAACTTGTGTTTACTGGTGCTCAACTTCTTCCTGACGCACCTCGGGGCTTGTAGAGAAAGTTAAACAGATTAACAGTAAAGCGCCCTCAACAAACGTCTAGTGCCAGCAGCGAAACTTTCCGCAGTGTCTTGCGATCTACCAGTTGCATCACGCGTGCCCCTGCTCTTCTATGCTAGAGTTGAGGCGAACTGAACCAGAACCACGAGATAAGTTGCAGTATTCTTCAGGAACTGTAAATGAATAATGAGTTTCATAAGTACGGAATTGGGTCAATACGGACTCAGCAAATCGGTAAAATGTTAAGAGAATGGAGCAGGTTGGTTTTACCGTCACGAGGGTAGCCCTGTTGTAACCGATAAAGCCGTTCACGAGAACCTCCTCCTTGGAAGCGGCCTGGATGGAGGTGAGGACGAGCGCCACCTGCAGCATATGGGCATTTTAAGGTTCAGTTGGCAGTAGATGAAAAGGGGGGGGGCGTGGTTTGCTAGGCTGCATCAGCTTAAGCAGCTTAAGGGTTGCTGTCGGGAAGCAGGCAGCAAACCGAACAGCAAAGCCCGATTTCACCCGATTGTCACTCTATTTTTTACATTATGCGACATAACATTTTATTTTTATCTATGCCTGCAGTGTGGGTGTTGCGGGACACTGTCAAAAATTCGTGGAAAACGGTGCAGTGACCACAGACAGCTCATAAGCTTAAAAAAAAAAAGCTTAACATTTTAGGAAGGGTCAAGGACAGGAAGAGTTTTCTTAACATTTCACAATTTACATATGTAATGATTAATATTGAAATCTGAAGCTCGGGTAGAAGCGTGTGTGTAGATGATTTTGCCCACCTCTGTCGCTACCTTCTCGTCCATCCTGCTGATCGGTAGCCGGAGCAGGGCTCTGAGGGAGCAGCGCCCCACCTATGCGAGTACAAAGGCAAAGTTTTAAAATAGGCAAAACTTGAATAATGTGCCCTGTAAAATGATTACGAACTAAATGCTTTGCAACGCTACGCACAATGTTTATTCTTTGTGTTGCAAAGACATTGTTTGCATTGCAATGAGATTGGTTTGTAGGCTAGGAAGGTTCTTACGAACAATCGGTTTGCAACTATTAGTTCGTAAGCTACGAACAATAGGGTACTCCAATGGAGCGCGAAGCGGAAGCAAGAAGAACAAAAACGGAAGGTGGAAAGGCGCCCACACTCCTCCCCGCCTGCCCCCCACTCCACCCTGGGCGCTCCCCCACTCCGTCTAGTAGAGGAGAGGGGGACGGCGCGGGCGCCTTTCCACGTTCCGTTTTTGTTCTTCTTGCTTCCGCTCCGCGCTCTATTGGAATACCCTATTAGTTCCTAATACAACGCTTTCAAAATCCTTCGTAAGCTACCAAGGTTTTGGTTTGCATTACGAACCTACTGTTCGTAAACAATTTACAGTGTGGTGGAGAAACCGAAGTGGCACGCAGAAAGGGGCAGTGCAGTATCAAGTAACCAGAAATTGCAGTATTTTCTCCAAGGCCCCTTTTGTGGTCGCGGTTGATCGAAACTACGGTTAAAAGTAACTCAAATCCCCACTACCAAAAACGTTAACCGCGGGGTGACGACATTCACCATGGGATCCCAAATACTTTATTTTACAACTCTTACTTGAGGTATGTTTTGACTCCGAAATAGAGCGGAATTAAGTGAAGAAAGAAGGAAAGGGGTCTTCTTCACTGACCCCGTCAAGGGCTCGCTGTGCCCCGCTGCAGGAAATGAAGAGCATCGAGCCCGAAAACAGCGCAATATGGGACAGCAACACGATGAAATTGGCGTCTTCGTTCGTCAAGAATTCGCTCATCACAGTGAAGGCAGCGATCACCCACTCGACGAAGAGAAGCAGCATCAGGAAGTACTTGGTGTGTCCCCACCTGCCCGGGTGGTTCGGAACATTCATGAGCAGCCTGGACACACCTCTGATAAGGCACGAGAAGAACTTGGGACTCACCTCGCGCCCAACGCAATGAGGTTGTCGTTGAGTTGCACCCAGAGGGCACCGTGCGCGCGCACCGCGGCCCTGTTGACGGGCACCTCGACCAGGGTGGCGGCGAGGGTGGCGCTAGCCTGCGCCAGCGCCTGGCACAGGCACCACCACAGCGCGGGCACGCCCATGATGAACGCGTTGTACTGCATGATCGGCAGCACGCGCCACAGCTGGTACTGCGGCACGCTGATCGACATGGAGGCCGTCAGGGGCAGCGACACCAGCAGGATGGAGGTCACGAAGGTGCGGCAGCTGCGGCGGAGTCGTAGCGGCAGACGCCGACCCGTCAGCGCCTCGTAGTCCGACTGGGAAGTGCAGGAGAGGTGTCGGGTAAGCGCCTGCCACCCGAGTGGTAGGCCGGCCCGTTGGGTCCCCGTGTCGAGCGGGTGGCCCAGCCTCGCAACCCAGGTGCCTGCCACCCGAGAGGTAGGCCGGCCCGCTGTGTCCCCGTGTCGAGCGGGTGGCCCAGCCCCGCAACCCAGGCGCCTGCCACCCGAGGG